CGAAGTCGTGAGCATACGGGTCTATGCGTCCAGAATGGGCTCATGCGAACTTGAAAGCCGTTGTGTGCCCGCGTACCTCGACGTAAGACTGCAGCGGTGCGATGTGCAGGGTGTACTAGATGAAGAGGTGCTTGCACAGATCGGTGCCATGGCGGTCTCAGTGTGCGGGCCAATGGGCTTCAGTGACGGCGTTAGGGCAGCTGTCAGACGCAGGGTGGGTGTACGAAGCATTGACCTTTTCGAGGAGGCATTCTCGTACTAGTCGACACTCGCAAGTAGCGTCCGCATCATGGCAATTCCGTACCCATGGCGAATTCAGCCAAGCACGTGTACCTGCAACCAACATTCGGCATACTGTTCCGGCTCAACATGGGCGAGGCAGGAATATAGTAAGACACGTCCGTCGTACTCACTGGCTTACATCGACGCCACAGTGTCACCAGACTCGGCCGTGACCGACATGAGCGATGTTCACTGTCGGAATTTGTTTCCGCATGCGACACGATTTCCAGGCTGCTGAGTCGCCCCTTCAGTTCCTTCCGAAATTTCACCCATGGTCGTGATGTCTCAAATGGTATTTCTAGCCAAAAATGCGTGGCGACTACGACCGTTGGTCAACTTTTGCATACTAGGATAATACGGGGCGGATGATGCGTGTGTCTTACGACTGGGTCACATGGTCGCGCTGGGGCATGATCTAGTCAAGATGCGTTCTGCTCAAGGCTTGTTCTCATCGAGATCAAGATAGCGCGCATACTCCGTGTAATTTGTAAGTGGACACATAAACTTCGGCGCTGGTAGCCTTCCATTTCCAGAGGTATTTGTTTCCGAATAGCGGAAGGCTGTCATCATCACAGTCGCGTACCAATTTTCATCTCATACCTTGTCATTCTCAGTACTCTGCATCGAAAACCTTTCATTTGATATGCATTGGACGAACACCGTTTACTTCCTGCGTTGCGCAATCCAGCAGTCGTGTGCAATCAAGTCTGCTCTACAGAGATCTCATAATAATCGCTACATTTACTTCCATTTACCGCATTCATTGAGAGCTCTATCTTGATACTGTAGTCTTTATGGTAGCATATGGATGTTTTGCGCTTGGCCAAGTGGTGAAGATGAACCGTCACTGCCTCCGACTCTGGACGCGACTTCCTCACCATCACCAGATAGTGATTTTTTACCATTGGCTCGCTTATCTGGCCCTCTGCTGGGCAACAACACGATATGCATCCTTCGCCACTAATCTGCAATGAACACGTTGAGATACCTGTTCTCGTGGTTTGAGTGAGTCCTCTCTCACCTGCGCTTCACCGCGGGGAAACACTGACACCACATAAATAGCCCAGATATCATCTCGGCCGTCACAAGTACACCACTTCTACAACAACAGCCACACCCGAAACCCCAAAGCCTGAGAAAAACATCCTCATTCTCCAGCCCAAGATGTCCGACAGCAACAACGCGACCGTCGGCAATGGCAACACCAACGGCCACGCCAATGGCAACAACACCCCCAAAGAAGCCACCTTCTACTACAACTCCGTCGAGCTCTTCGACCTAGGCATCACGCGCTTCGACCAAGACACCGCCGCAGTCGGCGACCGCGACTTCGCCCTCCACGCCCAGGGCCCCGTCCTCGCGCGCGCCGGCCGAGCACCCCGCGGTCTCGAAAGCCAAGTCCACGCCTGGAACACATTTCAATACACCACCGAAGAAGTCAACGAGCGCGAAGAGCTCAAGGGAGATTTACATGGCGGCCAGTTGCATCGCGAGAACCGGGCGGCTGCAAATGGGCAGGGCGGGGGCGGTATGAACGGCGGCGGTAGGGGAGGCTTTGGAGGTGGCTATGCGGGCAGAGGTGGAGATAGAGGCGGCCGTGGCCCGGCCAGGGGTGGTAGAGGTGGTGGTGCGGGACGTGGTGGTAGGGATGATGGGATGTTGGAGGGTCTGTGTGCGGGTAGGAAGCCGGATTATGATTGCCCGCCCATGGCGAAGGGTATGGCGGAGGAGATGGATAAGAGTATGTTCTGGGACGGACCGATCGTCTAGGGGAGATGAGTATGTGCTCAGTGAGTGGAATGGTGGTATGTGGGATTTCATGGGTGCCTCAGCGTCGCTGATGAGGTGGGCTCTTAAGCTCCCGACCGTTACGATATCGTCGGTACTTCTACGAAATGAAGTCGGGGGATAAGATGGTCTAATCAAGACATGCTACGGCTCTCCTAGAGTCACTCAATCTGAAAACAAAGCATCAATTGCATCTACTTGTGTTGATGATACCCGCCATCATTAGTACCAGCTTCCTTTCTCTTGACCTTACATCATTTGTCTCTGCTTCTTTTCCCTATGAGCAGTCAGCATCTCTCCGAATCCTCTCCCTTCTCCAGCAATCCAAATCACCTTTCGTTCCTCCCCTGTTGCTTCCACAAACACCTCAGCAGATGGGCGTACATTTGCATGTCGCCATCGTCGGTGAACTGCCAACAACACACCGCCCAGAGCACTGAGCTACGCAAGTTGCAAGAGCGACGCTTTGATTACAGATCGCTCTATTGCCTGAGTCGCATGGGAAAGCGAGAGCATTTGATCCTAGCAAAAGAGCCAGAGTGGTGAGGAGAATAGTCGGGAAGTACATGTCAATGAGAAACGACGTGGAGTATGTTGATAGTAGGTAGTTTTCGTCACGGCGAATTGAAGCAGTGTGTGATGATGTTGATGAACTAGGAGGTGTTATACAGAACTAAAGCCAAGGTCTTGAGACTATAACTGTTCAATACTGACATTTAATTAGAACAAGGAAGTTTCTCAGCTGATGACTGCTGATGCTAAGAACGCATACAGCATTGACCTAATCAGCCGACAGCTTACTTTCCCTCGAAGCTTTACATGCTGTAATTTGCTAACATGGCTTAATCTCACATCATCTCCGACGAGTGCAATCCACGCTCTCCCTCAACATCCTTCCCTTTCTCTGGTCATCAAACTAGCTGCGACCTTCTTTACAGTCAGCAACATTCAGATCAGCTTCTTTTGTTTCAAACACACCTCTTTCCCTTACTCACATCTCTTCTTTGCCATCGGGTCTACAAGCATTTGCATGTCATGACCGTATTCGCCATCTCCCCTTTCTGCACGCATGTCCCTGGACAGCTAGCTCGGCATGCAGATACTGAGACCAAGGAACCGCATTCGACGTCTGCGGGGGTAGGAGAGGCGGCTGTGAGGCCGAGAATAAGAGTAATTAGGGCGAGTAGGATGGGTTGGAAACGCATATTGATTTTGGTGGATATTTTTGATGGTGGATAGTAGTAGTTCTTCTTCTGCAGGTGGTCTGGGACTTTGATAGTGGAAAAGAGAGTTCTTTATGGAAGTGAAGCGTGAGGGATTGATAGGATCGGAGCTTTGTTTCACGTCTCACGTTATGATTCTTGACTATCTGACCACACTGCAATCGTCTTGCCCGCTGCAGCTCACACATCACGCCATCAGCATATCTCTATAAGCTGTGGCCCCAAAATCCGAACGTTTTTCTTTCTATACCCTGCTTCTAACATCCGCTGAGGTCATCCCGCCTTTTTACTCGCATTGTCCGCATACCACCTGATGATTACAACATTAACGACCGATGCGCCCAAGAGATCGGCAGACTTACTACTCTTCCTCGTTCGTATCAAACCCTACCCTCTTGACTTACCTTCCGCCGGCACCTTTTATACAGTCCGATCCCGGGTTTAGAATTGTGCCGGAAGCAACGCGGCGGCTTCGGGGGCATGCATAGCCTGTTTGTGTTCCGTCACCAGGTAGAGCGATAGCGGTGGCGATGCTTGGGAGAATGATGACGAAGAAGCGTTGTAGACGCATAGTTAGTAGCGTCGATGTAAGGATGAAGAGGTTGTAGAGTAAGGCGAAGGAAGCTGAGTGGAATGAAGAGATATTTTTATTTTGGTGTGTTCGGGTTTGAGGACTTGAGCTATGAGGTTGGTAAGGTAGGACATTCAGATGTAGGGAGATGAAAGGGTGCACGATGCAAGGGATGTGCTTCTATAACATATATATGCATTAGAATTTCATCCTTACACACATGCAGCAACAGGTTGGTCTGTCATACCAGCAAAATGAACACTCGTTCTGCTTCCAACATCGATCAGGCTCGATTAGGAAACCTACCATTCCCGGTCCTTGGTAAGCCCAACTCCCGCCACTGTCTTCCCCCTCACCGCAATCCATCTTCTTTAACTCAGCCTGCATACACGTCAGAAAATGTGGAACTTTTATTGGAATTGGAGATTGACATACCACTTACGCACTTCCACCGCCACCTCCGCCCTGGGCCCAGGGACATTTGCACCACACATAGCTGCTCGCCTGGACGCATTTTCCAGGGCATGATTGCAAACAAGTGCTCATGGGAGCGACAGCTCCACACTCCACTATGACAGCCGCAGAAGTTGTCGTAATGAGTGTGAAGGCAGTGAGAAGTAGGGTTACGACGGGAACGTGCATTTTCGCTGATTGGCCTTGATCGTGCAGCAGGCTTTTGGGTGGCGGTTCAATGGGTAAGGGATGATGAGATGTCTGGAAATGAGGAAAGAAAGAAGATCTTCAAGATGATAAAAGCTGAACGATGGGGAGTTGAAATGGGCGTTCCTCACGCCGGCAAAATGTGCTGATATTGAGGCACGGGTTTCGAAAAGGCGTAGTATGCGTGTTGGAGGCGTATGACACCGTATGGCCGGGCGTTGTAGTACGTGACCTCAATCCTGTTGGATGCCTTGAGTAGAAAGGTTCCAGAGTGGTAGGAAGCGCCGTGACGCCAAGGATAAGCTGATATATGCTGATGCGATGCCACAATAGCAGTCTGACAAGAAGGTTTCCTAACTGCAACGCTACAATCTGTGTCGTATTCTAAATAAGGTATTCTTGGAGCTACATCAACTCGGAAGCTACCAATCTGTGTAGATTGAAGGTGTGTATGCAACAAGCACCTCTACCGGCACTCAGGACTTCTTGAAGTGACGGTGTATCAAGCCGCACAAACTCTCCCACAACACCTGGTCCGTGCCTCTCAGCCACTCAACAACGACTTCCCGCGCCAGGTCTACAACCCGAATACGAAAGGCTAGCTCAATCTTTCGTGCGGAATCCTCCTTCATATCGACAAGTCCTTCCTTCTGTTTACGTTCATATGCGCGGCGATAGGAGCGGCTCCATACGTTTTGACTGGCTTCTCCGATACCGGTAGATGTAAGAGGATCCCAGGTCCAGGTTAGGTCAATCGATTCGAGTTGGGTGTTGATAGCATCTTTGGCAGCCTGAGGTTCGACTGCAGGTGGCAGGGCGATGGGATACGATGTTGGGAACGGGAGGTACTCGTTGGCCATTCGTTCTATACGCGCGTGGCTGTTTCTTGGTCTGAGGTCGCCGAAGCTCCACGCAACGATCCATCGCTTGGTGCTTGATCCAACCTCTATAGCGCCAACCGCCCAATTGGTGATGCCGTGCTTCTTCAGAAGATTGATGATAGCCTTGGCGCTGTCCATCTTGCCCAACATGCTAGTATACCACTGCACCTTGTCCTTCAAAACAAGACTCTCATTGACCATCTTCGTGACGAAGCCTAGATCGCCACCGAGACAGACCATTTCGTTTTCTGAGCCAGTACATACGGCGTTGGGCTTCCAGCTCTTTCCTTCACCCTTCAAGCTGGACTGCATGTCGGACACGTCGGTGAAGAAGGGTGGGTTGCAGATGGTGAAGTCAAGACGGTCTACACCAAGGGCTGCCAGTGGTATCACTGGGTTCAACTCGGTGGTTTGGAGTAGCTTGGTACGTGTCATGAAGTTATTTAGCGCGAGGTTGCGAGCTGCGGAATCGAAGCTCTTCTTGTCGATATCCGTTGCGCACATTGACCAGCTTGGACGTGATCTCAGACACAACAAAGTGTATATGGCGGAAGCCCCGGTACCAATGTCCAGGCCTTGAACGTGACGATTTGGGTCGTACTTGCCGGAATAGTCTGGTGATGTCGAGTCAATCAGGCCATGCAGCCAGGCTACGTAGTTCCAGCGATTGGGAATTGGTGGGCACAAGCGATCATCTGGCACGTCTAGTTGGAGGCCAAAGTTGACTCTCAGGATAGCTTTTGATAGGACCTGGGCAGTCTCAGGGTCTTGGAAATCCAATTTTCCAGACGTTCGCTGCCATAGTTGTTTGAATACCTTGTCGCTCTTGGTGAGGGCCTTGAAATCGACGGTGTCGTAAGGTGGTCGCTGCGCAAGATCCATATTGTTCTCTAACGCCGACATCTAGGTGATAGAGCGCAGAAACGGCAGTGTTGATGTGATGTAGTCTGCAGGATGTGGTGAGGGAGGCATTCAACAGGCAAGTGCCGGGAAGAAGACGCTTGGGCCAACCCATCCTGATTGGCTGACAGGACCGGAGGAGATGGGACGAGGAAGGAGCCACTGGGGCACCTCAGACCAGCTGGAAACCGAACAGGTGCGCTGCCGCCTGCATTAGTACAAAAAAGCAAAGTGATGATATCCCCAGGCAATGTAGACTTCTAGGAGGTAGGTGAGAGCGTAGGAGAGTGTACAATTGATATACAAGAATTTGATAGCGTCGCCGCAACTCCCGCTCATACCTACTGTATGCTGTCTACCCAACGCCGAATCCATATGCAATCAGATCAAGAAAGGCCCGTCGTACGCTCCGTCAGCTTCCTGCAGTCGTACTTCTTCGAGCGTCGGCACGGTTCCGGGTCTGTAGAAACCGAGGAGCATCTCCATGTCCTCCTCGGTCATGGCGCAGAGGTCGTCGAGCGAGTATTGTTCGCACACCTTGGACATCCTGCATGGGCTGAGTCAGCGAGTACCTTCCGGATGCGATGTAGGTAACATACCACTGCATCCGCTTTGGGCCCTCCTCAATGTTCGGAGCGACCTTTCGCAGCTTCCTCCGCAGCATGCCGACTCTTTGCACAGCGTTGCCGATATTGTAAGGTAGCCCAGCTGCTATCTGCCTCCTGACGATGTTGGCCAGCTTGGGGCCATTGCCGTTTGTGCTGACCATAATCTGGAGCGGCCCATCGCGATGCACGCTGCCAAAGTAGAAGTCGCACTCGGGCGGGACATCGGCAATGTTGGCTGCTATCCGCCTCTCCTTGCATAGCTTGTAGATCTGCGACGAGGCCTCCGGATCGTCGACGGCCGTCAGGACCATGTCGACGCCATCGAGGTCTTGGGGCTCAAACTTGCGATCGATGTAGTCGACCTGGCCCTGTTCTATCCGGTAGGCGACTTCTTCGTTGAGGCCGTCGCGCGGGGAGACGAGGGTGATTTTGGCGTCGGCATTGAGCACATTGACGATGCGACCAGCGGCGACCTAGACTTTTGTCAACTGTCAATACTTTGCAAGGGGCCTGGGGGTGTAGACGTACCTCGCCGCCGCCGACGACCAGGACGCGCTTATTGCGGATCTGCCATGCGAGAATCAGAGAGCCGCCGCCCTGGATCTCGGGGTAGGGGCCTTTCATGGTGCGGAGAGTGTTGCGGAGATGGAGCATGCAGCGCGGAGATAGCCATGTCTCGATTCCGCGTCATTGCCAAGGCCGTGCTGAGGACGTCGGCCGGGCTGGCTGGGCTGTAGAGTTTTCTTATCGCATGCACTTTGCAATCACGCAATAATGGTTCCCTCGCTGGCACTAGCCATGTCTCCCTGGATGGTGCGACTGCGGGACGGGGACGCGTTCCCAAGATGCCGGCATGTGGTCCTGCAGCGCATCCCTAGCGGCCCTTGCAACGGCGCGCCCAAGACCCACGCCCTAGCCTACCCATGCCGGCCCATGTACCTTCACGACTCCAGCAGACACTCCCGAATATGACCTCGCGCAGGTCCCTGGGCGGCGGCCGCGTACTCGGCAGCGGGAGGAACCTGTCGCCCGCCGCTGCACCTCCGCAGCCTGCAGCCGCCCACCGCCGCAACGCGAGCCTGCTCTCGCCCTCTGAGAGCTCCGTCTCGCTCAACTCGCAGGCCTCCAACAGCCCCGCCAGCACTGCAGAGACGCGCGAGGATATCGGCAGCAAGGTCCTGGTGGGCCCGAGCGAGAATGCCACGGCGAGTGCCTCCAGCAGACTCGTGTGCCCGATATGCAATGAGGAAATGGTGGGTTCATAGCACCTGCTGCAGCAAGAACAGTCGTCTGACGTAGCAGGTAACATTACTACAACTGAACAGGTACCGCCGCCTCGTAGCCGCCCAGTATGTTAGCCCTGACCAGTAGTAGACATCTCGACGACAACCACCAGAACCTGGTCGTGGAGGAGCAGGATGAGGTCAAGAACTGGTTCGAGGCCCAGATGCACAAGGCCAAGAAGTTCCAGCCGCTCGCCGTGCTCAACCAGAAGCTGAAGGGACTCGACGTCTTCGAATCCAACGATGTCCCGTCGCCACCCCAAATCTCCCACTCCGCGAGCAGTTCGACCGCCCACGTTCCCCACGAACCCGCACCCGTCCGCCGAGACCCCGAGGAGGAAGTCACGCGATCACATTGGCAGAGGCCTGGCTACCGCGATGTCTGCTCAGACCCCATGTGCGCGAGGCCCGTCACAGCTTCACAAATGGCGCTAGGCGGAAGTCAGCCAGCAGTCAACTGCAGACAGTGTGGCAGGCTGTTCTGCGAGGAACACACCATGTACCAGATGAAGCTCTCGCGGCAGGCTAAGCACGACCCTGTCCGAGGCGTCTGGTGCCGCGTGTGCGAGACGTGCTACAAGTCGAGAGACGGGTACAACGATCATCACGGCTTCGAGCGCGACCACTTCGACGAATTCGCCAAGATCAGACGGAAACGTGTCGACAGAGAACGCATGGAAGTCAGCCGGCTCGAAAAGCGTCTTACCAAGTTGACGCAACTTCTCGCAAACCCGCCTTCGATAGAAGAAACGCAGACTGCAGGGAGCTGGTTCTCACTACCGGGCGTAAAGAACCAACGCAAGACTCTGGAGCAGTCAATAATCACGTGGGAGGAAGACGCCAAAGTTCCCAACTGTCCCTTCTGCCAGCAGGAGTTCTCGACATACACATTCAGAAGATCACATTGTCGCATGTGCGGACGCGTCGTGTGCAGCGATCCCAAGACTGGCTGCTCCTCGGAGATAGGTCTCAACGTTGCTAGCACGCAGACGACTGAAAAAGATGCTGCGCAGATGAGTGTTGACGTGCGCATGTGCAAAGACTGCCAGCACACGTTGTTCGCTAGAGGCGACTTTGAGCGCGAGCTAGCCGACAAGCCAAAGGACCAGCGTGCATACGAGAACCTTGCGCAATTTGAACGTGGCATCCGATTACTCCTCCCACGATTCCACAAGCTCCTGCAGGCCTTGCAAGACCCAGACAAGTCACCCACGCCGCAGCAGTTGACTGACGCGACAAAGGTGCGCAAACGATTAATGGACGGGTTTGCACAATTCGATGTCGCAGCGAAACGAATACGCGACCTTCCCACTGATTCGCCGACACAGCAGAAGCTACAGAGAGCGGTATATCAACAAGCGTACAGTTTCTTGAGCTTACACATGCTACCGCTCAGAGCGTTACCAAAGATTCTCAAGCATGCAGCCCCGCAAGGTCGACCAAACGGAGTCGGCGCCCTTGCCTCTATCAAGTACAACGACCGCTCCACTGGCAGTGTCGTGAGCAGCAGCGAGGTCTCCGCAATGGAGTCAGAAGAGAAAGAGCTCAAAGAACGATTGATCGTACTTGAGGAACAGAAGTTCATAGTCTCTGAAATGGTCGCTGATGCCACCAAACACCGAAGATTCGACGAAGTATCCAGTTTAGCGCAGAATGTGGAAGATCTGAACAAAGAAATTGACCAGATTAATGGCCAACTGGGACAACTAGACTTTGCCAGTGCATACCAGGGTGGCATGGCTAGCCCACAACCTGGATGAACAGCTCCGAGGGAGTATCCTTCCGAACAATAACCAGTCCCGTTATAGGGCATGGTCACCATATCGATTTCTCATAGCCGCCGCCACGGTCCGATCATCTTGACAACCGACAACGCAGGAGCCACCATGATGCACCTCACTGGGGCTAGAATCTGTCATCGTCGTACACCAAAGATCGCGACTACAGCTGCCTGCAGCTGCCCACAAAGCCGCTCGTAAAGGTGCAAGTACAGTACATGCGCAGGCAGCAGCGATGGGGTGTCTTCACACGAAGACGGTCCTTTGGGGAATTCAGGCAGGCAAGGTCGGGCCTATTGTGAGCACCACGTCTCATGCATCCATAGTAATACACGAAGTAGCATGTGAATAAGCAATTCATCACCAGTGAACTTGTAATCCCCCAAACAACAAACACCTGACATGATATCCAGAATTCTCGATGCTGCAAATACATCGATGATGGTGTTTTAATGTTGCTCCGCACCCAATCACCACACCGCGCAATCCTTCCGCCCTCATCCACCTGCACCATCTCTCGCACGCATTGTCCACCACAATGTAATTACCCTCGACGCCACGACACCTCCAACGTCACAACCACCGTCATCCCCGTCGTCATCTTCTCTAGATGCCTAATCCAGTAACTCATAAGTCCACCATGGAACACGGTGCCAACTTTTCTCTGCATTGCCCCCGGCGCCGAACGTGCGCGTCCAATGCCTCGCTGCCAACTTTCGCCAGCACTGCTTTCGGCACGTCATTGCTCGATTGGGTCGTGCGGATCCGTGCGTTTTACTGCTTCCGGGTAAATCGGGTAAGGCAGGGGTTTGCATTGGGAATGGGATGGGGACGAGCTAGGACGGATGCAGTGGGATGCGCGGGTATAGGATCAGGGGTGGGTAACGGTGCGAATTGTTGTGGGGTGGGAATGTGGGTTGGGGATCGTAGGATGCGGATAGGCGGGTAGAGTGGTGGTTTCGTTGGTGGCGGTTGGGTTGTCCGAGTGCAAAACCTACGAGAAAACTGGGGACGGGCGTCTCACCACCACGACGTTTTGGTAAGATGATGTTCCAGGTGCAAGTGGGAGTGGATGCTTCGTGGATGTTGTGGTTTGGCGATGGCGGGACGCTCTTCTGTTCCTCGACCTGCATCTTCATCTTTCGCTGATCCGTGTATCCGTTAGCGAACTCCAACATAACAGCTCGTCTCGGCATGAAACTCACCTCTTTTCCTACAAGTCATTCCTGATTCTATTCACTTCGCTCCATCTTTCTTATCACCAGACCTCCACCCAGCAAACTCCAACAGATCCTTCATGACCTTTGGTTTCTGAGCAGCCGGACTTTCCCGTA